GCGTTTTAGCCTGTTTACACTTTCCAGGCAGCCAACACAATCGCTTATTTTACTACCAGTACTGATTAGAAAAATGCCCCTATACTCCACCCTGGTTAGGCCGCTGAAATAAACCACCACCGGGCAGCGGCTAGCGATCACTAGGTATAGACCGATGCTTGTGCTGGTTAGTATGTCTGTCCGCACTGATTACGGCGTAAGCTGCGGTTCAGGTGGTAGCTAGGGTCACAAATAGCCCATCAGACGGTTTCAGTTTGGCGACTAATCATCGAGGTTTACTTCAGATGGGCGTCGAGACAGGACAGAAGGTGGTGCTCGACCACCTCCATTAAACCGTCTGTCGCTTATGATCGGGGCTTCCAACCGGGGTCCCATTGGCTAATGTCCCATGGCCAATGAGAGTGTCAACGACGCCAAAACAGCGTTATTAGCCTCGCTAACTTGAAAGCACCACGCGATTTCGAAAATGTGCAACGCTAAAAGTTTGGTACAATGCGCTAACTTGCCTGTAAACTAGTATAGTGCAACCATAGTCAAATGCTTGTCAGTGAGGACAAAGTGGCTCACCGACAACAGTTGGCATGTAAATGTGCCGACAACAAAAGCTCCTATATAAACGTGTGAAAGTGCAATGCGCTATCCTCAACGCGATAGTCGGAGTTGCACAGAGCGCTGAAGAAGCAGCCAACGATCTACCGACGCGGTATGCCTCGGCCTTCCACCGAGACCTCCGTCACTGTTACTTACTTGCATTCATAGCACCAAATTTATCACTTACCAACATCGCTTTTACTGCCACAGCAGTGTTAAAGAAACTGCTCTTACTGCGCACCTACTGTACTCCCAGAACTGAGGACATTCACCCGAGGGCACAGAACATAGCAACAACTACACTGGCCGAGCCATCAGCGTATTTCTTCCAAATGTGCTTGGATAAGCAAACTGTGCCCATCTTGTGTAAACTTGGTCTGATCACGACAACAATTTTAATGCGCAACCAACCTACTGATTGCACGCAGTAGTCGGACGGGAGCGCCCGACTAGGGGCTGGTAATGGACGTCATTTTCCTTGATTACTCTAGTCTTCGACCGACTGGACCACGGCATTCTGCTTCCCAGGCTCAACAGCAGTAACGTTGGGAATCCTGTGCTTGGGTGGAGCATAACTTTCCTGCAGTATCGGCAACTGCACATCACAGTTCGAAGTGTCAGTTCAAAGGTACCGGTCTTCGGGCAGTCTTAGTTTCGTGTGTTCATCGACGAGCATGCGCGACGTTTGTGCCCCGACGTTGCTCTAACCAAGCTACATTACGAGATATAGTTTGTGTAAACCAACAGACGATATAAAGCAACGAATTTTGAACAACTTGCACTAACCCACACAATTGAGGCTGTCCCCTCTCTGCATTACTCCGTGTGAAGATAGTAGTTAGTCCACCATACTGTTTTTCAATTCATCAACTTGTTTTTTATTCACTCATGTTGGCTATCGTTCTGCTATGTTAAGCATTCACAACTTAAACGTAATATACCGTCGATCCACTGTTCCATTGGTGCCCCAGGAAACCTTTCAACAAAGTAGCAACGAGTTGTCCTCGAAATAGGTGCTCACGAATGTATATACATTGCAGCCGGTTATATGCCTGAGATACTTCGGAAGAGGGAAATTATGACTCGACGCCATGGTGAACAATGACGATTTTCGTATCATGTTTACGACTTCCTCCCGGTTGTTAAGATTCTTTGAACATTACTTTTACGGGAAGTCCGGCAGTAAGCTTATTCGTTTAGTGCATTATGGAATGGATTCAAAGACGGCAGAATCGCCGCATCTCGCTTGCGCAATATTGATTGCGGGAACTAATCCTGACTCATTTTAGTGTAGTGGGTTTGGGTGACACGCAGTGCGTGTTACTGAAGCGGCCTTAGCCAGCACATCGATAATATTTCAGCTTGAATCCCTTGATTACTAATAGCATTCACTTTACTCTTATTTTATTGGATCTGGATTAGAGGTTAGTTCACATAAAAATTATGCACCGATGATTGCGCCTTGTGGTTTTCAACTCAAAAGCACTAGGTCCACTTGCTGTCTGTGGAATCGTTCGGGGCCATGATGATAACCACCCATACTGTGAGATCTTAGATTTGCCAAATCCATTCAGTTAGTTAAGCGTGTTTTTTCTGGCATTTTCCATGAAGCACGCGATGAGGATGATCTCCAGTTGTTTTTTATTATTGACTGACAACTGAATTCCTGATTGCTGCATCCTTGGCGGATGTGAAGGGAAAGGGATCTGAGTTTGCTCATCTCAACATTTCGTATCATTCTCGATGAGGTTACGAGCATACTGCAAATGCAGCGACTGTAAACACTAGACCCTTGTCATGGGCGCATTTGCATTCGATGAAGTTGGATAGCATGGATATATATTCAAGTTAGAATAGAACTGGGCATAAAATAGCTACTTGGCTGGACCTGAGGAAAATTTTCTGCCACATGGCTGTGGGAAGTGTGTGTGATTCGTCAGGGAGTCGCGCATTAAACTGCATACGTATGGAGCTACGTTAAATGTTAGCACATGTTTCAGTAGAAATGATTTGTGTAGACTCTCAAAGGCATGCATATAATCGAAGATCAGGAGCCGTAAGGGGATGCAGAGCGTTCTGGCTTGTAGACGAACGGTTTGCTATCGACCTACGGGACTTCTCCGTCTTTGGTTTCATTTATTGGTATTTTCCCTTCCATCCATCCTGTTGAACGCAACTCACAAATGCACATGAGGTGACAGGGTTTCATTAACACTATGCCTTCCGATCGATATTACGTTAACGACAGTCATTTGTCAGCAAACGTCTTCGAATGAGGGTAGGATCACCATTAACAGTAAAGTAGCCAGAAGTTGAGGAAGGACCGGTGGCACTCGGAATGAGGACGCACACTCATTGAGTTAAAGCAGGCCTGTAGGTTTGTGTCATATCATAATGCCTTAAATTTGGATGAATTTGGGACACACTTATTAGTTGCTAATAGAAGGTAAACACGAAGGTGTATTCTGTATACAGCTGAACAAATACCAACCTGTCATGGGAGACAACCACGTACCAACCAGCACTCGTGGCAACATACGTCTGAGATGCCAGAACAGTTTGGAAGGTTAACGAAGGCTTGCTCTGCCTATAACTATCTACCTCCATGTTAAAAATGAACATTTTGATCGCTTGCCTTTGACTGGTAGCATGCATTGTCAATATTGACACACACATTGCATGTTTCATTGTTTATAACCAAAACTAGGAGTCGAATGGTGGGTGAGGAATTCTTTTCAGTGAAAATCTCATCAGGCACATACGTCTACATGGTGCATTAAGTGTGGAAGAGCCATAATGAGCTAACTGTTGATCACATACAGGTTGAACCAAGTTTCAGTGACTTTAATTCACAGCTACGGCTGAGGTACCCAGCCATTAAATGGAATGGTTGGTAATGATCACACAAAAAGAAAGAACTAGACTACTGAAATCACAATCAAATAGTTAACACCCAGTGCTCGTTGGCCAAAGTAACAAAATGCGCTGCACATATTTCTTTAGAACACCAAACCCCGGTTTCAAATGGGGAAGGTATATGGCCTCTGCAATAGATGATACTTGTTTGCGGAAGCTATAACATAGCCTATTAAGAGTATATACCAGCAGAGTTGCAATGTCTATACTATACGTCGATGAGACGTTCGTACTTTGCAAATCGAAAAAGCATGCCGTGCACTTGCTGAAGGTTTTTAACGGCGCACTTGCGAATCTTTGCATCTCCTGCGAAGAAGAGTCCAGTGATCAACTTCCGCTTTTGGATATAAAGATTATCGGAAACGCCGATGTATCTGTCAGTGCAAGTATACACAGAGAAAGCAAATGGACTGGACAGTATACAAACTTTTACACTTCGGCCTCTTTACATAAAAATGGAGTTCGTTACAATCGCTCGCCATCAGGGCGCACACTACCCGCACTCGAGAGATCGCCAACGAGGAAATGCAGAAACTCAGCGACACCCTAAGAAAAAATGGATACCCGTACACATTTGTCCGGAAGTATCTAAGAGTACGTGAGCGTAAGCCACCTAGGAGCATTACTCCGAAGAAAGAAGGTTTTATGCATTTACCATCCAAGGGCGATGCACCCGCTGATGTGTTATCCAGATGCAAGTACGCTTTTGTGAATACATATTCCACAAGGTGTTAGAGAATGGTTTATTACCATAAGCCACCGCTTGCCAGGCCCTTGCAAGATAAGGTACACATGTTACCTCCATCTGTGCTTGTGTGGCAATAGTCATGAATTTTTGTGTGCACGATACATCATTTGCACTTCAAGGCGTTTATCCCAGAGGATCCGGGAGCACATACCAATGTGATTATATGGAGGTGCATTGAAGTCTTCTAACAGCTCGATTTTGTCACACCATGCAAAAGGCCATGCAGCATCGGAGAATGACTTCAAAATGAACTGCTCATTACCTGAACGCTACTAATCATACTTCTGCAAACACTTGATATCAATTGCAGAGGCCATGTACTTTCGTCATTTAAAACCTGAGTTGTGTGTTCTAAAAACTAGAAGCAGCTCATTTTGATACCTTGGCCAACAAGCACTGTGACTTTAAAATTTATTATTATTTTACCACCCCACCTTCTTTCATTTCTGGTAATGTTGCCAACCATATTATTTGTTTACTGGGTACGTCATCCGTAGCTGTGAAATTAGGTTATTGAATCAATGGTTCGAACTGCTTGCGCTAAATGGTTGGCACTTACGGCACTTCACACTTAATCCACCATGTAAAACAGATCTGTCTGCTGAGATTTTCCTCGAAAGTAATTCTTCAAACACAATTCAATTGCTGCTTTTGATTATAAACATTAAGATGTGAAGAGTTGGTATGCTGAACCTAAACGTACCTAGTGATTCACTCAGACATTGCATATTATGAAACACGAGTATCAGGTCTGCAAAAGTCTGCGATGCTCATTATTCCATTGTATACAACACATTTGACTCTGCCATCACATAAGTGCAGACAGTCGCAAAATAAAGCTGCAAAATTAAACATGGATTTAGAACAGCAACTGTTTTGATTGAAGTCAAACAATAAATGGGTTAAACTCCCGGTGTAGGTTTCATGGTAAAGCGAGGCCTGGAGCCATCGGAGGTTCTTTGCAGGCTTTCAGACACCAGTAGTAGAGGTCCACCTCGGCCTCACACCTCTTCTCATATTTTTGCGATGGGCACACAGCGCAAATGATCTTCAAATGATCACTGCATCCTTGAGCACAAGTTGCTAGTTGCTTTGCTTCAACATGGTGTTGAGTTGTGAACAACATCACAATTACCTGTACGACAATAAAATAGATGGAACTGTTGTGGAATCTCAAAACTGGATGCTTCTGACAAGTAATTTAAGTAACATAAGAAATGAACGTTAGGTGTCGCTTATGCAATCTGATATGTAATTCAATCTGTCTTATGTTCTTAACGTCACACATTTTGGCGCGCGCAGGGAATGAGTTGGGGGTAGTCAAGTGTCAAATCCTAGAGGCTACAAACACCAGCACTTTGCGCTAGAAAAATTCTCATCTGCGATCACAAATCACTATGTGTAGGGAGTTAGCAGTAGCTCGAATGATCACTGCTTCTCATTAAGGATTACAACCCGCACCCCAACTCGCCATATTAAAAGGTTGTTCCTTTCATATGCACAAGATTTGATAACATGGTCCGATTTATGTCAGAGGAGTAGGTTATCGCAATGGTATTGCAAATTTTTAGGTCTGACATTTAAATTCGCGCTTAAAGTTAACCCATGATTAGACAAGATTGATCATTTGAGGGTAAATACTACGATATTTTTACGTGGTACGCAAGTGCATTTGCTTGGTCTAGAGATAAGTTTACATGAATTTCAGATGTTATACGTAGTTTCAACGACCGATCTTAAATTTCGCTTAAGCAACTTATCGGCATAACTGGCAAACCTGTTGAGCTTAATTTCAGCCGGATTCAATCACTCACTCAAAACACCGTAATCACAAATTTTGCATGTAAACACTACGTATGCACCATTTTTAACGCCGCTACTTGTAAAAGGTTTGTGTCGAGAATGCTAAAGGATAAGTATTATATACTTGTAAATCATGACAGCTGGGCACATGTATAGGTGACGCCAAGCAATTACTTCAAGCCGAAAAACTCAACAAAATGTAGCTAATTAGGTCGGGATGTGGTGTAAGGTTCAGTGTTGCTAGAAGTCAAGGGAGATTGGTCGAGAAATCTGTACTAAAGCGAAACCGGTTAGACTAAGGAAGAGACAATTCGACAGCACACGGGAATGCAAATTCGCCACCTCATCTATCATCATTCGGACGGTTGGAACACGAGAATCCAGATTCGCATAGGTGATAAGACATTGTGTATCACGTGAGCAACAACGCGATTCACCCTACTCTTTTAGCTACTTGAACACGATTAGAGTTCAATCGGTCTCGAATATAGGAACCAACTATTGTTACTTTTTTCCAGGTGTTTTCAAACTTCTGTTGAGTTTTCCTTTTGTTACATTCCCTTCAAAGGAGAATTACAAGCTAAGCACCCGCGAGAGTTCGCTGTTATCCGATGCGCAGGTTTTTTAAACTGGATAGTGATCTTCATTAGTGTCAGATTTAGCATTGTCATATTTGTTGTATGCTAAAATTGAGTTTGACACTTACCAGCATATTGATGAAATAAGCCATCATTCTAACGGATGCCACACTACAACTTCAACCGTAAACTTGACAACGTGTCGCTTGTGGTTTTATTCCGGTCACTGAGGTGCAACTGGCCAATGAAACTGCTTTCTCGAATGGCCTGCAATATCACAAGAATTTAGTAGTCCACCAAAGACGTTTTTAGAGTAAGAACTGGGTCACTGAGTTACAATACAGTGCTAAAGTGTATGCGTAGCATCTGTCGGGGTGCCTCAAATAAGAAGGAATTGTGGCCTGATGCGAAGGAATTCCACAAACTCAACCATTTCAGTGAAACGTCTCACACAAGTACAGTGTACACCAAGGCGGTTTGGGGACACCTCTGATGATCAGCAAATACACCTCACTGCCTATCTAAATGTCACAGTAGTAGGTGTGAACTTAAAGGTATCCGTATCCGTAGGTTTGTGTAACTGTGGCAACGAAGCGCCAAGCGGACGTCTGTTCCTACATATGGTGTATGAGTGTCTTGAATTGCTTCATGCACATCCGCATTCGTACGCGCTATAATCAACACAGGACATCGTCGGAATACGGCCGGGTGTTATGTGGACGGTAGCGTGGTAGATGACAACTTGTTTGTACGTAGCTGATTTGAGCCCAGTGGAATGGAAGCGAATCAATGGAGGTCCGTGCGATCGGTGAGAAAAGATAGGCTTCCGCACAGCATGAACAAAATGCAGGGTGCTTTCAAGCAAAAGGAAGCGGATAGCTCGAGCGACTCAAGAGAACAGCACGCCCTCTTATAGTAACATAGAGTTCGATGGCGGCTTGCAACTGGCGGTGGATTGTTCTCCAAGTTCGGTGTATCAGGTACAATCTGTTCGTTACCAGGCTACAACATCAGCAGGGGGACCAATGCGGTATCATTATCCAACCTGTAAAATAAGGGTATCCATGGTCATTACCGCCCAAGTGAGCTATTCGGAATCGCACGCGTCAGATCAATGGAAATTTAGCGTAGTCTACTATGAACAAAGCGCACTGTGGCTCATAACGCGGTAGCTATGGGTTGTCCAATGCCAGCTAACTGGCAGCGCTTATAGAGCTGTGCATTCAAGCGATCAGTATATGACGTGACCTACAGAACGGGCCAGTGAACATCTGCTGCAATGGGATACCCTTCCAACTTTGTACGTCATAAGCGTAGATATATTGATGATATGTCATTTTTGCTTACGTCGCAGACTGCTTTTAATCTCAAAGGGCTATACAAAAGTCTTGGACACCTATAAATAGCGGTAACCAACTTCAACCAACTGCACAACAATAACCATATCAAACCCATCCAAAAATGCACCCAAACATTTACCTATATATTATGTGAGGGATTACGCGTAATGAATCCGTTACAAGAAAGTGCCACTGTTGTAGTCTAGCACTGCCGTCACGAGGATTGTGAACCCAGTCTTTTTCTAATGGTAAGCATCAAGCTCGAGGCAGCTGTGGCCCCCAAGCTTATGCATCATATTGCTTTTGCACAAACCAGCTCCATACATGCCAAGTTACTGTGAGGTTATCGTCTAGTATTCATTCGTTTAAATTGACGAGGTACGTCACCAGAACCTTCATGGCGATTTCTGGCCGAAAAACAGTGTGGGTGAGAGTCATGAGCAACTAAACAACACATATATTTATTCCGGTAAGATTACATACTTAACGGTCTATATGAGTGCATTTACAGGAAGGTAAGTGGGAGGCCAAATCTAGCCTTCAGTAAGGTTCCCCATAACCAGAAATTCATTCTTAAGTTGTTGACCAAACCCATCGGACAATGTTGTTCAATACGGCGGGGTATAACTTTCCTAACCTCAGCACTTAGGACCGGGCCTACGAGTTGAGTGATCGCCATATGCGACAGGAACCGCTGCTTGTGAGACCTTGATTTGACTCGGTTCGGTGGTCGATGGTAGGGTTCATGGTGCTTACACAACTGGTATGGGTTGAAGCGGTTTGGTTTTCAGATGTTTGTACAGGTTATTTGCGTCATTGGATGTGGGGAAACACAGCTAGGTCACTGCTGACCCTATGTTTTGAAACAGCCAATATGAGAGTGAAAATAACAAATTCTGGAAGTCAACTACATGCGTTGCAATCACATAGAGGGAAGAACATCCGTCTACCCGACAGCATGCTGTGTTGTACTACCAGTTTAAGAAGCCGGCCAAAAGTCCTCATGACCATCCAGAGTGCAGCTGCGTTGTTTTACTCCTGATACACTAGTGCCCCCGGCAAATGTTTTGGCTCATTCTACTACAACTGAGGAGCTCCATATAATAATGTTCATCTTTCGGATCTGGCCACTATAGATAACTACCTGTTGCTAAACCGAACATGTAGGGATTTCCGTACTACAATTTAGTCACAAAACTACATCATCATTGTGGTTTACAAGATCATTTGTGGACACGTCCTGTAGCTAACTCCAAAACCTTTCTAGCTGGACCATACTCCGCCCTACTTACTGTCGTCCAAGTGTGTTACTAGTAAATAGTTTCATTCCAACACACAGTGACATCCTACTTGAGTTCCGCGGACAGATGCTTTCTAAATCACCTGCAACCTGCCTGTCGCTGTGAGACGATCGATAACCTACTACTGTCCAGCCGTCTACCTGCTCTGTGTTTGACAAGATTTGTTGTGCCGGCATCCATCTTACCGAGTAAAGCACAACGTGCTACAACACCTACTGACCTAGGAATCGAGACAACTTCCTGTCCAACCAACAGTTTGTAATTACGGCCAGTTGGTTTTAATTACGTAACATAAATTTGCCTATTATTTCTTTGGCATTTGTATCATAATCAAGTCATAAATATATCAACTAGGTGTCTTTTCTGTCTTCACTTCTGCCTCGGTAACTCCCTCACCTAGCTCACTCATCACAATACTATCTTAGAGTTACCACTTCCCCAACAAGGCCTAGTATAAATCTAAAAGCGTAAAACAGTGTTTCTTATACCACTCAAACAAGATTAACAAAATTGATAGCCGTAAAGAACCACAAGCCTGCCGTACGCAAACGGTTGTCCTATTTCAGATAAGATAATCTCCCTAGGATAACAACTCGCCGAAATGGAATATACGGGCCTTGACTTGGCTATCAGTTAACATCGTTAGCGTACTTCAATAACCCACCAATTAGCCCCATTCAGTTCAAATGGAAAGGCGGGACAATTAATCGCGTCTGTTGCATTAGCGGTGTATGGGCGAATGCTTAGGTTAATGAGTGCAATTATTCATAACCACATTAGTTTGGATAAAGTGAAACTGTGTTACGTAGGACCTGCAACATGGCGGAAGTCAATTGCAAATTACAACGAATACGAAACATGCAAAATCTTCTGCCCGATCCTTTTCACATTCCTAAGTGAAGAAGTTGCGAACCCATTCTGCAGTAGTCAACTCATCACAGCGCATGTTACCGAGTTCAACGACTTACTGCTTAGACCTGATAGGACACCCCTACTGATATGACCTGAACTATTCCAAATAGTTCTATCCACAATCTAGACTTTTCTCCACCTATTTAGAGTAGTTCAGATCATATCAACTGGAGACGGAATTGGCAACTGAAACGGCAATCTCAGGAGACTATCCGCATGCAGTTCTTCAACACAGCAGACGCAGTTCGAAGCCGCTTAGCTTTGTATAATCGAAATTCTGACTCCTTACCTCTCAATGATTTCCAAGAACAAGTCGCCGTACGATGAACCATCCAATGTGGATTCAACTTTATCTACAATTCAGTTTTTCAAACCGGACGCTTCATCTGGTGTTACATGTAAGTCCTGGTGCAAACACTATGAGGACATATTTCGGGTTGAGTATGGTGACAAGGAGGATACATGGCGGTCACGAACATTGCTTCGTTTGTTGGGGGCTACGGAACACGGCCGTTTTGTAAAGTACATTTCGCCAAAACACCCAAGTGGTCTTTCATTCGATAACACAGTTCAGTGTCTCACTCAGATTTTGGCGGACGTTCCTCACACTTCAGCACACGCTATCACTGTTTAAGACTGGTCAAACACTCCATGGACAACTAAATTATCTATGCAGGTATAGTCAAGGTGTGTGAGAATGCTCTGAACCTGCATCCATTACGGACACTGTTCAAGTAGCTGATGTACATCTATGATCTACAGTCTCCGTCAGAATTGGATATCAGCACATGACTTCTTACCTAGGTGGAGCAAGACCAAGACATCACGGAACTAAAGATGGCCGAGGAATGTCAACGCCTGCTTAACCTCAAGCATAATTTCAGTATAGTGGAAGAGCGGCAGATTAGTATGGTAGGTGTCAGACCGGTCAGATCACATCAGCAGACGCTAAAAAGCCGCCTACAGCGTGTTAGAACTGTGGCGCATGGCACTACGTACCACAGTGCAATTTCCGGTATAACCAATGTCCACGTTTGGGTCGCAAATATGGTTTCTGCAAGCCACATAACACGACTAAAGCTGATGACTCTGACAAACAGTTTTGGAATCGACCACAGAAGAAGATTATCTGCAGCATTATTGCTACCTAGGAAGTCATCGCGACTTCGTGCAGGCTCTACCTCACAATGAATGTTAATGGGTATCCCGCAACTCTTCAAGTAGACACTGGATCGGACATCACCATCATTTCACAATCCATTTGGAAAGCCATCGGACGTCCTCCAGTTTTGTCAGCACAACAAACTGACCTCAGTGGATCTAATACTAGTCTCGGATTGGCTGGTGAGTTAGGTTTGATGGTAAGCTATGATGAGAAATCGTTTGAGTCTATTTGTTATCCCACTTATCAGCCAGGATTGAACCTACTTGATATTGACTGGTTAGAGAAGTTCAATCTTTGGTGTATTCCCTTTGAGCAAATGTGTAAACTGACCTGTGTATCAACCTTACACCCGTAAGTATCGATGCACGGTTCTAGCAGACGATTTCACAGCGGTTGTTTCAGCGACAAGCCGTAGTTTCTTAGGACGGCCTCGGAGGTTAGGACAAAATGTAAGCTTAATTACAATTGAAAAAAGATGCTAAACCCGATTTTCGCCCAAAACTTCCGGTACCTTATTCCGCCCTAGGCAGTGTTGAGCAAGAGCTTAAT